GGTAGCAACGCATTTCCGGTTCAGTATTTCCAGATAACGCCATCCCCGCCATCTTTAAACATCTTCTGTTGCAATGTAGATGTTGCAGTATTAAGGCCCATTTATGCTCAACGTTCAATACGGATACGGACGGAGCCATCAGTCTGTGCTCCGCGTTCATTTCTCTGTGACCGGAAAAGCCGGAAGCTAAACAAAAAATCAACTAGAGACGACGATAGCCATTCAGGAAAGGAATGCAGCCTCCTATCGCTCTGGCAGTGAATTGCACCGCGACGAAATGGAGTGACGGAGAAGTTCGAAGGTTCACGACGGCGTCACGGCAACGACGTAGGTAAGTCGTAGGTACGCCGCAGGACCATAAATCAGGCTTTATCCGGAGCGAGGACTACAGTGTTTTCTTCTGGTAAACATAAACACGTAACATCTGCCCCGCCCCCTATCCAATCAGAAACCTTCCCTGCCCCAAACCTTGCGCAGACCTGAATGAAGGCGATTAAACTGATCTCCCATGTAAACCCTCATTCGGAATGAATATTTCTCATGTAAACTACCTGGAAAAACTTTAATTCCGAATGATTTCATTCAGATTTATTTCATTCCGAATGAGAAGCCATCATGTAACCGTAGCANTTTATGCTCAACGTTCAATACGGATACGGACGGAGCCATCAGTCTGTGCTCCGCGTTCATTTCTCTGTGACCGGAAAAGCCGGAAGCTAAACAAAAAATCAACTAGAGACGACGATAGCCATTCAGGAAAGGAATGCAGCCTCCTATCGCTCTGGCAGTGAATTGCACCGCGACGAAATGGAGTGACGGAGAAGTTCGAAGGTTCACGACGGCGTCACGGCAACGACGTAGGTAAGTCGTAGGTACGCCGCAGGACCATAAATCAGGCTTTATCCGGAGCGAGGACTACAGTGTTTTCTTCTGGTAAACATAAACACGTAACATCTGCCCCGCCCCCTATCCAATCAGAAACCTTCCCTGCCCCAAACCTTGCGCAGACCTGAATGAAGGCGATTAAACTGATCTCCCATGTAAACCCTCATTCGGAATGAATATTTCTCATGTAAACTACCTGGAAAAACTTTAATTCCGAATGATTTCATTCAGATTTATTTCATTCCGAATGAGAAGCCATCATGTAACCGTAGCAAGCTGAAAAGAGTTGGATTGCCAGTGGCTTTGCTTTTTCCCACCCCCCTACTTCTAGTGCCCTTGTTCGGACCATGCCAATTTTTGAACTCAGCTTTCATTGTGATGTCAACTACACACCTGTAACGTTCAGTGATCTTGTACAGTTGTGATGCTGTCATACAGACAAAATCTGTCCTCAAAGAGACAGAAAGACATGTATACACCTGGCAAAATACTCAAAATGTGGTAGTTCCTGTCTAGGACCACATTTTGCCATGATGACACACGCATACAGACTCACAAGGTGAAAATAATACAAGCCCCTGCTGTCGCAACTGGTAAAACCTATGTTGATCCACAGGATTCAACTTTATACAATGTGAAAAGCTGAGAGTCCAGAGTCCAGTCACTGCTTAAGCTGGGATACAATGATGCACAGCTGTTGTCACTATCATCTAACGAGCAGTTGGATGCAGCTACACTTTCTGTGGGGACTTAGAGGCTGTTTACACGTACACTGTGATTTTGATAAACGGAGACATCTTCCTTCGTTTGTGCCCTTAGTTTACACGCAAACAGAGATTTCTCCTCTGAAAACAAGTCTTTCTAAAAACTCCGGCCAGAGTGGAAATTTTGGAAAACTCTGGTTGCGCGTTTGCATGTAAACTGAGATAAACGGAGCTGGAACTTGCGCCTGTGTAAAAAGTGCGACCTATGTTGCTATGGTGACAATGGATACATGGAAGGCTTGAGCTTCTCGTTACACTGCCACCTACAGGTTTGGCATGCTCTTGTGTATATATACACGGGTAAGTGTAAATGAAGATCTTTTTGAAAACGAAGACGGTGAAATGTCCGTTTATGAAAATAGCCGGCCATGTGTAAACGGCCTCTTAATAATCCCTGCTGCTGCTGCTGCTGCATTTATTTAAGGTGAAACATCCCAGAGCACTTTAAGTTTGAAATGTTATGCTAATTCAAATAACTGAGAATAACATCTATATTTAAATGTACATTTTGTCATCACTTATGTAGTGTCCTGTGTACCTGAATTGTGTTCTTTGGATAGGATGAGTTAACTGATTGGGAGCTTCCTGGGACAATCAGTGGCACCTGTTTCACCTACAAAAGGCCCTTGCTCACTGTCACTCTCAGCAAGCAGACTCCGTAGGGCCAGAGTCTCTCCTCACCATTTTGTTAACTATTTGTTTTGCTTTATTTTACTTAATAATTTTAAAATGTAGTTTATCCAACTTTGTTTCTCTCTTCATGCTCTATATTGTGTATCCCTCTTAGTTGTTGTAGGGCAGAGAAAACACTTTGGAAAACTGTCCTGTCATGTGGGAACTCATGTATGATAGTTTTGGTTGAGAAAATATAGGAGCAGCAGTTGCTGTTGGAGCTGATACAGCATCTTCTGTTTTGTTTATTGTTGTAACTCAAAAGTAGTTGCTAAATTAGCATCAAATAAAACTTAAACCATATGTAAACCTGTAAACCAGGCACTACAGTTTTTTTCTAGCCAACATGGGCTACAATTTTTACATCGTCTTAACACCATAAAAAACATTGGATGTTTAAATACCAATTTATGTTACAACAATAAAAAGTTTATTTTAACAAGATACATTGGTTGATATATAAATTTTGATATATAATTCTGTCATGCTAAGAAAAAAAAGTATGATTCAGTATCTATAACATTAAAAACATCTTGTTATGAAGTGAAAAGGATCACATAAAAAGGTTATAACAAGAAACTGAGCAATTTTTTTTAATCCATTTATTTTTCCAATCAAGGATAGAAGGCGTCAATAAAAAGTGTGTGAAAGGCACTGCTGATATTTATTAGTTTAACGCTGCAGACAAAAGTAATCGTTTGCCCTTTTGGTATATGGTCACCATGGGAAGTCAAAAAAGTAGGAAATAAACAATTAAGTTTTTTATTGATTTCGGGGTAGGACAGCATCAAAAACAAAATGTAGACATCATAAGACAAATAGTACAATAAAAACTTGCCACTGAAAGCTTGGTAGTCTGAATTTTGTGTTAGGAGTAGCAGCTCTGACATGCAGGAAGCAGCAGAGCTCATTATATATTTAGCAGATTCATGACTTCAGGAGTTTGTTACAGCCAGCCTGCATTGCAATATAGAATTTTCTCTCTTATGGTAGATGCAACATTAGCAATACAGCATTAATGTTGTCTGTATGGCAGTAACTTACCAACTACTGCTAAATATACAGTACAGGCCAAAAGTTTGGACACACCTTCTCATTCAATGCGTTTTCTTTATTTTCATGACTATTTACATTGTAGATTCTCACTGAAGGCATCAAAACTATGAATGAACACATGTGGAGTTATGTACTTAACAAAAAAAGGTGAAATAACTGAAAACATGTTTTATATTCTAGTTTCTTCAAAATAGCCACCCTTTGCTCTGATTACTGCTTTGCACACTCTTGGCATTCTCTCAATGAGCTTCAAGAGGTAGTCACCTGAAATGGTTTCCACTTCACAGGTGTGCCTTATCAGGGTTAATTAGTGGAATTTCTTGCTTTATCAATGGGGTTGGGACCATCAGTTGTGTTGTGCAGAAGTCAGGTTAATACACAGCCGACAGCCCTATTGGACAACTGTTAAAATTCATATTATGGCAAGAACCAATCAGCTAACTAAAGAAAAATGAGTGGCCATCATTACTTTAAGAAATGAAGGTCAGTCAGTCCGGAAAATTGCAAAAACTGTGTCCCCAAGTGGAGTCGCAAAAACCATCAAGCGCTACAACGAAACTGGCACACATGAGGACCGACCCAGGAAAGGAAGACCAAGAGTCACCTCTGCTTCTGAGGATAAGTTCATCCGAGTCACCAGCCTCAGAAATGGCAAGTTAACAGCAGCTCAGATCAGAGACCAGATGAATGCCACACAGAGTTCTAGCAGCAGACCCATCTCTAGAACAACTGTTAAGAGGAGACTGCGTGAATCAGGCCTTCATGGTCAAATAGCTGCTAGGAAACCACTGCTAAGGAGAGGCAACAAGCAGAAGAGATTTGTTTGGGCCAAGAAACACAAGGAATGGACATTAGACCAGTGGAAATCTGTGCTTTGGTCTGATGAGTCCAAATTTGAGATCTTTGGTTCCAACCGCCGTGTCTTTGTGAGACGCAGAAAAGGTGAACGGATGGATTCCACATGCCTGGTTCCCACTGTGAAGCATGGAGGAGGAGGTGTGATGGTGTGGGGGTGTTTTGCTGGTGACACTGTTGGGGATTTATTCAAAATTGAAGGCACACTGAACCAGCATGGCTACCACAGCATCCTGCAGCAACATGCCATCCAATCCGGTTTGCGTTTAGTTGGACGATCATTTATTTTTCAACAGGACAATGACCCCAAACACACCTCCAGGCTGTGTAAGGGCTATTTGACCAAGAAGGAGAGTGACGGAGTGCTGCGGCAGATGACCTGGCCTCCACAGTCACCGGACCTGAACCCAATCCAGATGGTTTGGGGTGAGCTGGACCGCAGAGTGAAGGCAAAGGGGCCAACAAGTGCTAAACACCTCTGGGAACTCCTTCAAGACTGTTGGAAAACCATTTCAGGTGACTACCTCTTGAAGCTCATGGAGAGAATGCCAAGAGTGTGCAAAGCAGTAATCAGAGCAAAGGGTGGCTATTTTGAAGAAACTAGAATATAAAACATGTTTTCAGTTATTTCACCTTTTTTTGTTAAGTACATAACTCCACATGTGTTCATTCATAGTTTTGATGCCTTCAGTGAGAATCTACAATGTAAATAGTCATGAAAATAAAGAAAACGCATTGAATGAGAAGGTGTGTCCAAACTTTTGGCCTGTACTGTATATTAACATAAACAAATTACAGTTACAATAGTAATGTACAGATTTACATTAAAACTAGCACAGGATTAACAGACGAACAGCTGTGATTAAATGTCACCTTATTAATGCCAGCAAATCTATTTATTGTATTTGTTTTACAAAACTCACATTACTAACAGATCTGCTTTGGCAAGATTTTTTTAATCTTAAAAAAAAAAAAAAAAAATGAATGCAACCCGATCTCACAAATACAAATAACCGTGACCTCTTCACATCACCTTACATATCGGTGTCAGTGTGTAAAAATTACAAAAAATGCCAATGCAAAGTCAATTAGGATTGTTTGTCATGGTAAACACACTAATTCCCTGGTTCAATGATGTCACGCATTAGGCAGTGGTTAACAATCCAAACCCTTAGGTTGTATAATGAGTGAGAAAGTCCATGTAGGGAGGAGGCTGAGGTGGATGGGTCAAAGAAATGCAGGACTTTCACCTGGGAGAGCACTGTTTGTGTCCTATGTAAAATAAGAAGTCAGTGATTACTTCCTTTAACTTTGTAGTTATGCCATGTTCAGTCAAGTACTTATGTCTTGTACATAACATAAGTTATTTTACCCCATAACATAATCTTGTCCTAAACCTAACCAAGTAGTTTTGGTGCCTACACTCAGCCGTGCTCAAACCATGTAATTTTACATATTACGTGCTACCACCATGTAATGCGGTGTTAAGAGGTAGAAGTCATTTCACATATGTGAGATCACAATGCAAAGATGTTTGTTAACCACCAAAATACTGTTGCTTTTTACACACTTTCTGTTCTGTTTTACATTATTTACTGCATAATACAATTTTGTTTTTTGTTATAACACATTAGATCAAGACAGTGTATGGGCAAGCTTTTTATGTACATATAACCAGTATTAAATACACAATATAAAGATATCTGTCTCCTTTGGTTCGTGCTTGATGGTGATGACATGTGAAATGCTAACAGGCATGGTAGATAATAGAGGCGTCCATGTTTCTTGCACTGTTTCCTACTTTGTAATGCAACTGTTGCACAATCATTTAATTCCTTGGTATAAATAAAATCTTATCTTTTTGTTAGACCTGTGGTACTTCTCTTCTACTGGACCATTGCAGGAAATGAACATCAGACAGACTTAAATGAAATGCAGCATTTGCACTATTATAATCACCTGTCCTACCACCAGAGCAAACCAATTCTCTCTGACTACCTGCAGCCACACTCTGCCACCTTCATCTCTTCATAAAGGTATCTGATAGTGAGGCGTCCGTTCTCCTGATACATGACTGTGATGGGGTCCAATTTGATGGGGACGCAACATGCCATGTTGGCCTTCTTGGGGTTCCTGATGTTGATCAGCGTCTGGATAAGGGCGTGCTTTGATGGGGTCATTTCGTCTGTCAGCGGGTGGTAACACAGTCCTCGACATTCAAAGGCGTCATATTCTGGAGGCGCCACGATCCAGCTGTCCCAGCCAATGTCTTTAAAGTTGACTTTGAGAGAGGTCCGCTGGCAGTATTCTCTCTCTACCTTTCTTTTCTTTCTCCGTAGGTGCTCTTCCGGGATCTTGTTTGGAAGCTGATCTCCTCTGTTCCAGTCCGCACCTGAGTGTAAGATGGTTTCTTCTTCGTGGAGGATCATCTCTCTTAGTTCCTTCTTTTTCTCCCTCCTCCTGCTACCCAGGTCATCTGAGAAGATGATTAAAGCCGCTGAAGTGTTATCTCCAACAGACACGCTCATATTCAAACAGCCTGCTCCTTCTTCTTCACCTTTAGAGGCCCCACAGTCCTTCCCATCCACCACGACATCAAAAACAGTTGCTCTATGGCCCGACTTGATCCAGCTCTGAATCGCCGCAGTCACTTCAAATGTTTCCCACATGCTCTCGAAGCTTGTCACCTCTTTTCCAACCAGCAGTTGGGTGGTGGATGTGAAATTGTTGTAATCCACTTCATAGACTTTGACGGTGGTCTTGAATCTGTGGTAGGTGACCGTTGACCTGGGATCTGGGAAGAAGAAGAGCTGTAGTTCAGCAGTAGTGAGCTTCTCGTGGGTGGGGATGCTGATGTTAAACTGCAGCCTGCTCTTTGACTTTGTGCCATTTGTCTCAGAGAGAGGGATATCTGTTGGAGATAAGAAAAGGTCAGAGGTCAAATAAACGCTCTAAGTTTATCGTAGAGCAGCTAGATTTGAGCTGTCTGACCAAAATTAAATCCTTCATGGACTTAAGCACTTCCAGCACCTTATTGCATATCATGTAGCATCCTTTTTATTGTCTATGTTGTCCTGTCAATTGTCTGTATGTGCTGTTGTGCTACTCTGTGTGCCTTTTAATTGCCAAATGGAATTAAAAGGACAAAGGACAAATTGGACAAATAAAGTGTTTTGAATTGAACTGAATTGAAAAAAAATCAGTTAATGTATTGTTTGTGGGTTTTTTTTTTTTTAGACTTTTTATACTGATTTAGTCAAAACTTTAATTACAAAATAGATAAATCAAATTAACTAATTTTCTTCTGATTGTGCCCCTATATTCTTCAGCAGGTGTGAATTTTTGGTTTAGACAGACAATGTTGACATCACTGTTGTTCCAACAGTTAGCCGATGCTTTGCCTCATCTGCGATTTGAGCAATCTGTATGTTACTACAAAATTTTGTCTGGATTTGTATGTTAGTTACTTCAACCTGGTCTCACTCCAAGTGCATTAATATACACCACCTGGGGCAGTGGGTGAAAGGGGTAAATGGTAAAAGGTGCCCCGGTGTCATTATAGTGACGCGATAGCATCTATATAAGCATCTATATAAGATGCACTGGACTTTAAAGCAGCTTCAATGTAAACCCATCTGCATCATTATTAGAGCAACAGACATAGAATAAATACTGAGTCTGCTTTGGTGGATGGGTCGGGTTAAGGACTTTAACCCAGGAGATTGGCGTTTGTGTCGAGTGTGAAACTAAAAGTCAATGTGCAGTTATTTTGTCACGAGTCGTGTCTTTTCCTCACCCTAACCAAGGAGCTGTGTTGCCTAAACCTAATTGCTGACCCTTTCTTAGTTACAAGAGTCAGCTCGCATGACCACCAACCCCTTTACATCAAGATACCAACAATACGACACACAGATCATGTTGACTTTGTGTCATGATTACAGAGTAACATGAAGAATGCTGAGGTCACAGGACTACTTGTGAGTTTTCGCAGGCTGGACTTTGGACTGGACCCATGAAAGAGACGCAGCTAACAGTAGTTAGACCCCCTCCTTTATATAATGAAGGACGAACACTACACGGAGTGTGCTGTAGCTGTCAATGACTCAGCAGGTGTTACCGTGCTAATGCTAGCAAGCTAAGCTAACTAGCTTTCACTCTCTGCGTGGAAGCTTGTTAGCCTTGCCTGCTAGCTTCCAATTTCAGAGGGAAATACAAACTTAATCACGCAAAAGGTCCTCCCAAATGTTTAATGTTGTAAAGAGACAGAAGTCTGAATTTGCTAAAGGCTGATAACCAATGCTAAAACATCTTTTATCAACATTTGTAAGCTACAGGGCCATTATGTGCTCCAGATGAGAGTACACCGCTGACATTGACAGCGTGTCTTGAAGCAAGTCTGCCTCAACATCATCTGAATGGTTTGAAGCTTAGACTGTATAGCCTATAAATATGTCCAAAAACTGTTTCACCCTCTTTTGATAAAAATGGAAAATTATGTACAATAGTATCATTTTAGTTTATATTTAATTATAAAAAAGTGTTTAAAATTCAAATTTCAATATGTTTCTACTTGGCCATTTATTGGTAAAATACAAGCATACCAGTCTTTAGAGGTAGCAATTAGGCTATCATGGGAAAATAAATTACTGTATTGTAACTATTCAATGATAAAAATGCTACGGGCTACTTTAGAGCAGTGGTTCCCAACTAAGGGTTTGGGGCCCCTATAAGGATCACAAGATACATCTGAGGGTCTGTGACATAATTAGGAACTTGAAAAAGCCAAATTCTGCGACAGAAAAATTATACTGTTGTTTTATAAATTTGGCCTCAAACTTTTGCGTTACAATTTGCATTTGAGGCCTCTAATAGTACTGAAAAAGATCAGCTTTTATCATGGTAATGAGTAGTCACAAGTAGAAAGGATTCGTTTAAAAGGCATCAGGGGCAAAAAAGTTGGAAACCACTGGTTTGGAGCTTTATATAATATAAAATAATAATTTATAAAAAACCTCTGATTTATACCCTATTCATGTACCTTGGACAGTGAAGCTTCGTATGACATCAGACTGAGGGTTTGCCGAGCTGTCCGAGGCGTACTTGTTGTAGAGCTCCATCATAAACTGAGGAGGGTAGATTTTGCTGTTCTCGTGAGGAACGTCTGACAGGTTGAGTTTTCTCAGAAAGCCCTCCTTCATGGTTCCCAGGAGGTTCTCCATCCTGGAGTCTGTGTCTTCCTCCTCCAGAAGGTCCTCCTCTGACAGATGAGAGTAGAGTCCATCAGGGATCTCGCTCTGGATGTCATTATTGAGAGCTTTACAGGTGCAGGAGCCAACAGAAACCAGCAGACACAAAGACACCTGGAACAGGGATGATCTGGAGCTCCACATTTTGAAATCCAATCCTTTCTAAGCCACTGAGCTTGCACAAACTTTACCTTCTTCCCAGCTTTGAGACGGCAAGGTTTGAAAATGGAGATCCCCAATGCAAGGACCACAGTCCTGATGTCCGCTCCCATGCTCCCAGAGTAAACAGGGGGAATTGTGTCACCAAAATAGTAGCTTGGCCAAGCTTATCACTGCCATTGATGCCTTCTTTTAAGCTCTGTTATCATTAGAGGGCTGGCTGCTAATGAAGACACTGTAAACACTTGACAGCGATAATGAGGGAGGCAGAGGAAACTGTGAGGTTACTCAGAGACAGACATTTCCATTGAAAGTCTTTTCCCAGCTTGAGGGTGAAAGTGTTGAGGCCAGTGGAAACAAAACGCTTACAAGAAACACAACAGCAAATTGCATTCTTTACCGCCACCATTGCCACATATTTCTTACAGATTAGTTGTGCTTAACCGCTGCATATTGCAGGTCAGGCACATGTTCCAGATACCAAAATGTGGTTAAAACTTAATGATCTTGATCCTTTCAAAGGTACTGAAAAGGAAGGTAACATATTTGACAGATAGTTATTGAAATGTGCAAGAGAAATGATCTTGTAAGTCAATCAGTGATATAAAGCTGTCACAAATGCAAAAAGCAGCAAATCTTACACACTATGGACATTTGAATGCAACTGTAAAATCATAATTTGACCTCATACCAGACCAGACAAAAGAGATATTTGCTTGGCAAAATATCACCATGCAGATCTACATCTAGCAACATAAGCATTGTGGCTGGCGTTCTTTGGTACAGTGCCACCAGGAGGTGGAACATGCAAAGTGGAATATGCAAAGATTTTTGTTTTCCTGCTGTAATGCAGACACACCTTATGCTGCGCTCAGACTACCAGTGACAACGCAACAGGCTACAAGTTCTTTTCAATGGAAGCCGCTGACATGACGCCCAACACTTGACGCTACATGACTGGCAAGACATGCTACATATCAAAGTTAAGCTGGCCTCAACTTTTGTCAGCACTCTAATGGCGTGGTGAGGCATCAACCAATTATATGTTCACAGACGCACACAAGCCCATGATGACATAACTACGTCAATGACAGCGACAATGTAGCTGGCCATGGTGTAGCTTTGTTTTTCGTAGTGTGAACAGACTATTTAAGGTGCTTTCAGACAGTGAGCAACTACCACTATGGCCGCCAGCAAACAACGTCAATGTTCTGTATTTGTTCTGGAGCAGGCTAGAAACGATCCTACTAGCCTGCGCACTACAGGCTGCTTCTATCTACTTAGTAGCTACATAGCTAAATAGAGCCAATTGTAGCATAATAAAGTGGAAAGGTTAAGCAATATGACACGATTAGAAAGTTTTGCTGACTAGTGTCATGAATTGTTTACTGTACCAGATGAATAATTAGACTCTGATGCTGATGTTGCGCCAAGATCATTTTTCTCCATTGATCTGTCTGTTTTCAGCTGGTGAAGAGGGAACTCAGATACTAGTAAAAGCAGCACGATGAACCACTGCTGTGTCTTCACAACACGCGGCAACCTCAGAGGCTGACAAATAACGCTATAAACGAAGTGCCAAAAACTGCAATTTATCGAATGGCCAGTTGAGGCTGGCTCCAAAACAGAATCAATCTGTATAGAAGCCCATATTAAAATGCCCAGCTTTACAGCAGAAAGAAACATGTTTACCACCTGTACAAAAAACAGTTTGGGTCTCTATAGTTATTTTCAACTTTGATGAACTCTATGGGGGTTGAATTTTTGTATAACTCACTTATTTACATTTTATCAGGTTTAACGTTACACATATTGAAAGGCAGGACTGCTTATGCAACAGGTTATCTGCAAGGCTTTGCTACAGTCTATAGCCCTTTTTAGATAGGAATTGTGCAAATTTGCAGGAAAGCCCAATCAGTCTTTATTCAGCATTGGCAGTATAAAAACACTACCTTTGTTTATACAGAATGTGCCTTTTTCCGGGGCAATGGTGGGCTTGAGCAAGTAACAAAACGTGTAACTCAGCATGTGATGTAAACAGTGACGTGGGAGGGAAGCCGCGGCTGGTCAGTCCTTGGGCAATTCTCTCGTAAGTCGGCCTGTTCTTCACCATTCCTGTCATCTGACAGTTAATGGTCTCTTTGTTTGCGAGGACAAGGAGGGTGCGCAATTCTTTGTCTCCCCATTTGCTCATCTTTACAGTGTCTGTCAGGTTTGTGTTTCCCTCTTGTTACTAGCTCTCGCTAATTCCTGCTATCAGCTGTTTTCTGTTTAGCCACCGCCAGTGGTTCGCACGAGCGGCGTCATCAACAGCTCCTCCTGTTGCGGAAGGCCGCCTAGGTCTGTTTAAACTAAAAGGGTTGCGCCAATATGACTACCCTACAAGGCGGAAAATTGGGCACCTTGGATCAACTCACCAATCCCACTCTGTGTGTCTAAACGCTCGCAGTCTGCCGGCAAAACGGCCCAACATTCGCGGAAAATCTGGCAGTGTAAAAGGGGCTTATGAGTCAGACTCACACCTCGTTCCTCCACAGCTCCACCCTCTAGGTTAAATATGGTCACTTCTGGCACCAAAAAAACTAAGATGGCAAATGCCAAACACAGCAGTCCACAAATCAGTGGGTGATATCAAGGTAGCTACGTCCATTATTTTATACAGTCTATGTTTCACAAGAGGGGCCACTATCCTCCCTGTCCTTATTGTGTTGTTGTCCTCAGCAGTATGGCTGCCGTCAACATTACATTGAAAACAATGGAGGGGGTAGCAACCACTTCATGTATGACAGCACCTTAAATGCACCTTAACTTTAATGCTACGTAAAGCAGGTGTAATTTTTTGTACCATATTAAGTGTAAGGTTATGTAGGTGTATCTCTTTTAGTGTTTTGTTTATCCATGTTGGCAATCATTAACTTCTACCTTCCTCTTCTGTATTGCAAACATTTCCTTTGCTCCTCAGGATTCTTCTAAGCAAGGAACAAACAGACGTTCGGAACGACACATGAAAACATGTTGAAACTGATATAGCTTTATAATGGGAATCTATAAAATCTGATAGGCATGAGAGCAGAGATCATTTCACACCACCAGCAAATGCAACACATGATGATCAATGGTGGGATCCGTCCCTTGTTTCTGTGGGTGGTTTAAGCCCGAACCAAGCCAATGTGTCTGAGGACGTTGGCCTGAGTCCGGCCTATCTTGGAATTTCTGTCTTTCACCCATGCAGTCGCTCAGTACTTGGTTCATGCCGGGTTTCATAAAAATGCTTTCATTGTGGACCTTTCAAGTTCCTCTCTATGGAGTCAATCAGTGATGAAAGGCAACGACAAAATCTACTGGCATGGATACAGCAAATAATGTCGGCATGCAGGAGGGAAACAAACGCAGCAGGGAAAGTAGACTGAGAAAGATCACATTACTTTAGGCCAAATTACTGGGTTGAAAAATATGCAGGAAAAACCCATTAAATTATATTAGTTTGGTGAATAGCTTGTGATTGTTCGATGGTTGATATTAATATTATACTGAGGCTTGCAATGGCCAATGTTGAGTCCCAGTAGTTGCTGTTTTCAAGTTGTTCAAAAGTATCAACGCATTTCTTCCAGAATTTCTTACTTATCAGGATGAAAAAGGTTTTGAAACATTTAGACCATCATGTAACATTTAAACTCTCCAATTACCTATTTTATGAATAGATCTTTAAAGCGGCATTAACTTTTTGGCTACTTTGGGGCAGAGGAACAAACTGTTAACACAATGCTGACACATTATCACCTTATAAAGTTGAGTTGGTAAACTGGTGGCAAACAGCTGCCTATTTACATATCCACCCGCACACATGGAGCAACGTTAGAATTCTCTGAAAGTCATGTTTCTGTCTGTCTGATGAATTTAAGTCCATTATACCATGGTGTGGGGGAATACTCAGATTCTGATAGCCGATTCTGATTGGCTGCAGGGTGTCCATTCAAATCTGATACAGGACACCTACTAAGTAGTTCTGGTGAAACTGGGACACAGTCAGAGCTTCTGTTTACAGTTTATTAGGGTGGAGATGAACACACAAGCTGCAAGAAGTACACTGGCCCTCTGAACTTACTAATACTTTATATATAATCCACTGTGGCTCACAATACTGTGAGCCACAATGGATAATAATTCAGCTGACTGGCTTATATGGTTCAATAGTACATAACTGTTAACTAACTAGGTCACCTCGCTGTTTTGGATGGGTGCTGCACAATGATTTAGTGTTAGATAGCTCACACGATTGCACAAGGATTCATGGGTAACAGCCTACCATCAGTGTTTTGTACTGTAATCTTTTTTAATGAATAGGCCAATTTGGCTTTTCTAATAAAATGTCGGATTTATGTTAATGTATATTTTCAGACCTACTTTAATGTTTGAAAAACAAAATAAAACTTAAATTAAAACTGAAATTACTTAACAGTAATTTGGTAGCCCCCTTCACAGTAACTTTGAGGACATCCAAGGGGTCACAGACCCGTTGTTGAAGACCCAGGATCTAATGTATAGGTGTAGTATCGACAGATAGTAACCTATAATAAGATATATGTCAAGTGTACAAAAAGCCTATACTTTATACTCTTTATATAAAACCTAAGAAAGTCGAAAAGCACGTCTGACTGTATGTACAAATCAGTTTATTTCCTTTCCAGGCGTACATTATATCTATAATTCGTTAAAGCACACTTCACATAACTATTCAAATATACTTTTAACCATACAGTTATAAGGTCAGATACATTTGTTGTTTTCTAATTACTATGGAAATCTACCATTATTACAAACTGTACATAGCTTTAACAAACAGTACTGTCTTAGTTCCTTTAACTTACCCAAAATGCACAGCAGGTGGCGGCAACGCACTGCTTTTCCCCTGTGCTGTAACATGGTGCAGAAACTACTCAACACTTGCAGTACATTAAATCTCAGTAGGTGTCAAAATACACTCATTATATACAAGATATAAACAAACTGAAATATAGTTCAGATAAGAAGATATTGCCTCTCATGCATGAATACCGCTTCTTGCTTATATACGGGAGGTGTTCATGGAAACAATGCGTCACTCAGTCTGACACAACACTTAAGAATGAGTACCATTTAGTTAGTAACTACTGTATTTACATAATGAGGGTTGATTAATCAGATAGGATGTAAGTGTGTAAATGTCCATGCTGTGTCTCCCAGACCCTCCTGAGTCTATGAGTCAGTTTGCAGTTCACTGAATCCCAAAGACAAAGAGGGGCAAGCGGCTGAGGACACAGAAACTTCTGAAATGCAGTCTCCAAATTGTAACCAAGTCCAAAACCAGGTCTGAGTCCAGGTCTGAGTCCAGAGAAAATCAAGTCTTATCTTTTCTAATAATAAAACAGGCAAGCTCACTTTATAAAAGTGAAAAAGGACTAAAAAAGTTTCAGAAGGATCAACAGAGATGAAGATACCTGCAGGAGTTGTGTCTTAACTTCAGCGTCCAGCTGGTTAATACATTACATACACAGGTTTCTATTAAGTGCACTTCTTAAAACTGCTTTCAGAGATTAAATAATTGAGACTAATCTATGTTAACTGTTAGATAAGCTGTAAAAAGTTGAATCAACGTCTGATCATGACAGAGACTAGTCCAAGATTCAGAAAAGAGTTCTCAAACTGAGACTCAAGAACTGGTGCTCTGTGCGTCGTATCAGTTTATCCTCGACTGTCCTCTCTGATGTGGAAATGTTCAGTCTACATCTACGTCCCATTGTGATCTTTTATCTTCATTAATCGCACATCCAGTGGCTCCGGCCCTACCGACAGGCGCAGGTATCCACAGACATGCCGGGGTAAACCTTTAGCACCATATTCCTGCTTGTATCAAGGAAAAGAACGCTGAGGGGACTCATTTTCTCTGGAACGCAGCACGGCTCGGGGACACCAGGGACGATTCCCACTGCTCTGACGATGCTCTGGATGGTGGCGTGATTGGAAGGACGCACCACCTAAGGAAATGAGTGGGAGGAAAAGGGATTAATACTCTCAGAACTTACTTTTATAACTATAAAAATAAAGCCAAAAATTAATTTACATACAAACATTTTACTTGTTTTTGGTGTGTTTCTTTTATCTGAATTCAAAAAGGATAATGAACCCTGTAAATTAAAGGCTTCTGTTGCTCACTTTTGGGATGGGGAATCCACAGGCCCCGGCGCAGTAGTAGGCATCAAACGACTTTGGCGCCAAAACCCACTCACTCCAGCCAATGTCAGCAAAGTCCACCCTGAGGTAGCGCCTGGAGCACACTCTGGGCTCGCTCCACTGTCTCCTCCTGGCCTTTTTCATCGTCCTCTCATCGAAGCTCAGCACCTGAGGCTTACCCAGGCCCTCGCTGCTCTCCTGACCTTGCTTCCTTCCCGGTTTCACTGCTGCTTTGGCTTTCGCTGGGAAATACGTGTTCTGCCACAATTCATGATTCTTCATAGTGTTGTACTGGACTTCTGGAATGTCGTTGGTTTGGATCTGGAGATGAAGCTCCCTCCGAATCCTTGAGGCTGAAGCTGAGGTGTCTTCTGCTACAGGGAAGGGTCCGTACCGCTGGAGTGAATTGGCCACACTGTTCGGCTCATCTATAGCTCGATCATCAGCGTATACCAAGATATACGGCAGATTGGCTGGAGAGAGGCGCTCTTGGCCATGAGGGCTCTTTTGTTGCCCCCTAGATGCCCCAAACCCCATATCAAACTCCACCATAACCACAAGTTCTTTGACATCCCTGGCGTGTTTCAGCACTGCTGTAACATCCCTTGATTGCCAAGAGCCTTTCTTGAAGGGCGCCAGAGTTATGTTTCCCAGAGGTGTTGCAAAAGATTTTGAGGATGATCCGTGGAAGAGGAGAAGTGGGGAGGGAGGATAAGGATGCTGGAGGCCGCTGGACGAGTGGCGAGGCCTTCGGAAACGCCACGGTCGCTGGTGGTGGCGGGGCCGCTTGTGGAGGAAATGAAAAGAGGCGAGGAGGATGAGCTCTGAGTCTTGGATGGAGGACAAGTTGAACTGGAACACCTCTTTCCCGTGCAAGACTCCTGAGGAAAAGAGATCAGAAGAAGAATGAGAAGATTGACTGGAAAAACACGTTCTTCTGAGAAAACAACCTTCTTCTCATGCTTTTTCTAATTTATCTATTGGCTTTAAAAAGGACTCATAAACAGTGATGTGCTCGCCGGTTCAACCGTACAGATGTTTTGTCAAACATATGCTAAAGCCATGAAGTAGGATCTCTCTCTGAAATGAACAATAAAGACGACTAAAGCGATCAAGTTGCTGCCTTGAACCTTTCCCCCTCTCCTCTTTTCCCCTCCTCTATCATCTCATCCTGGCTTGTTTGACTGACATGAACAACAACATCCAATATGTCTTCTGCAAAATGTTGCTCAACACATCTGACTGACATAAGCGGCAGCATGGAAAATATTAAGCGCGGCACGCTTAAGTGCCTGCCTCACGAATCACCAAAAGCCTCATCCTAGATGGCTATACTCTTGAAGTTCAACCTCGTCTGCCACACTTCCACCGCAGCCTGAAAGACAAACATTGGATCGGTCCAGCAGGTCTGTCGCAGGCATATGGAAATGCTTATAGCAGAAAGAGCTCCTCTGAGGCTTTTCGCTGTGCAGCCGGTGTCTGGGTGTGATAATAGGCTCTTGTCTAACACCTAGGCTGCAGCAGCTACCGGGGAACTAACAGTGCTCAGACTTAAAGTCCCCCAGATCACTAAATCATAACGCAGACGGAGCATGGAGGTGAAGATGTTAAGCACAAAGGGGAGTGAGAGCTGCTGTGAGATTGACCAAACACCTGTGTTTGGGCTGTTTAGGATGTTGCACTGATAAAATTATTAACATCAAATTGTTTTCTAAGCCATTATTTTGTGCACAAGATTGGAGATTGCAAGTTTAACATAAACTTTCTGCCTTCTTTCTGTATTTTCAATTTGTAAAAGGTTCATCTGTAATGAAATGCGTAACAGAAATAAAAAATAAAGTAAAATAAAACTTAAAGATTACAAGAACCTTAACTTTCATTCAAGGATAAGTGGCATAAAACTGTTATAACATATCTTTAAAATTCATTTTTATAAGATAAATAAGAATGGGCTATGCTGATGCTCCTTTTCCTATTTTTAAAGTGCTTTAGGAAATAAGCATTTTGTCCATTGTCTAGAAGCCTATTATGTAGCTGGGTATCAGTTGAATTATTATAACATGAGTGACACAAAAGCAGCCTTCAAAATACAAATTTACTTTTTCAAAACTCATTTAGACTTTTTCACAAAGTGGCCAATCAATATTAATTCGTTTATAATAATTCCAGTGACTTAAAGAAACCCAAGGGACTTTAAATTAAGCTTAGAGAAATGTATATGAGATCATATATACATGATGAGAATTAGATTTCCCTACTGACAAGCAAAGCACCAGCAGTGAATATTATTTTATTTCTCTCCTGTAAGGTCATTAATAAACGCTGTGGTCACTCACTCGGGACAGCTTTAAAACTTCTCACGGTGTTTCCGTCCCTCTGGCTCTGCGGCTCTTTACTGTACTTCTCGTACACTTTGAACATGTTGATAGAGACCATGTCTCGGTTTGCGCTTTCGTGCGCCAAGACGCGCTCCTCCACAGCCGGTGAGACATCGGCACCTTGACGCACGGCTTCACCAAGATCCTCCAGCACGATTTTACTCCAGCTCGACTCCAGAATCAGTAATAAATACAGAGTGTGAAGAAGCCGGCTCGCCATGGTTGATGTTGCAGGAGATGTTTCCATTAAAAAGAAATAATTTAATTCAGTAAAAAGTTACAGGCGCGCTGCCTTTCTGTCTCTCGCTCACTGATGCCCACCCAGACTTCAAGCCGGTATCCAGGTAATCCGTGTCAGACCCGCACTCTACGGTTCACGGTCTACAGCTGTTTCTACAATGGAAGGAGAGCGGGGGAGGACGCATGCATGAACCTCTGCTGCTGGTTGACAGATGGTGACGCGTCGGAGCGCACAGCCAACGAGAAACATGCAGCATTGTAGTGAAGTGCTCACGAGTTTTGATTTGCAGCAAAGGAAAGTACAGAGCAGCTTCCCACGAGAATATTAAAGCTATACAACATCCACACAGGCAGTGCGGCTATTTAAGGCCAGACATAAAGATCCTATAAGAGGATAAAGCTATTAAGTTTAACATAAAAATAATTAAGATTAAACACACAACATGCAGGCTATGTTTTATAGGCTATATTTGTTTTATTATCATTATCATTATTTAGGCTATGGACAAAACAGGTGAATGGAGTTTTATCTGTGGTGTACATAGCATTGAAAAGTCACTTCAAAAATATTTTTCTCTGCAATGGTACACCTAAGGGAAGGCCAGGGGGACAATGGCCCCCATCATGCAATTGCAAGCCCCTCGGGCAAAAATAATTGGAGGCCAAAAGTTCTGTCATAAAGAGGCTGTGATGCACTCAGCCAACCATATCGGCATAGCTTAGTTAGTAAAGGGGCTAAATAACACTCCAAAGTTAGGCTAAATTTTGCCAAGGGAGTAACTGGCATGGTCATTTTCAAAGGAGTCCCCTGAACTCTTATCTCAAGATAGCTGAATGAAAATGTGTTTTATGGGTACCCATGATTCTTGAGAAACTTGACATCAAAGTTCTCCTTATATAGTAAAGCTATTTATTTGTATTTTTAAGGAAAATGACAACCATCCTATTTGAGTAACAATGAATCGCCTAACATGTGTACATAACACATTAAAACATTTAATACATTAAAACAGGACTCAAAGATGTACCCATGCACATCAGATAATTAGAATTCATAACCTAACTGTAAAATAAGAAACTAAGGTATATTAGTATGTGATTCCTCTCCATATTGACAGTTTTCAACTTGCCTATATACTTCAACAGCATAAGTGAAGCCCTGAAATTCATTTATGACTTTTAGCTTTGGTGTTCCACCTCAAGATTTTCAGTAACCCCATCTGGCCACCCCTATGAAAAATTCCTGGGGGTGCCACTGTTTCTATGTACTGTGGTGTGTATTTCCCCCTCACATTTTCTCCTCATAATTTATAGTATGTCACTCAATGAAGAGTAAATGATACAACTGTGCTATTATGATACACATCAGTGGTGGTGTCTACAATGACTTGTCGGTGAAGATTCTCAGTCATCCAGGTCATGGTAAGTGCTATATCGTAGGCAACTGGACTTGCTTGCGGTTCTTGAAGACGTTTCGCCTCTCATCCAAGAAGCTTCTTCAGTTCAAAATGACTGGTATGAAGTTGCAGGCTATAAACCCTGTAGGGACATTGTCTACATTGACATTTCATTCCAAACTTCTAAAAATCATCATTTCATGGAATAAAAACTTACGACTATTTTAAATCAGCCCTAAACCTTGCAAGGCTATGCTGACAGTCAACCGTTTGGGACCTATTTCTTTCATGAAATTGAAGAATGTTAACGCCCTCTAATCAGCTCCTGCCTCTCACTCTCTGTTCCTAGTTAACAGCTGTCGAGAAGGCTTGGTCAGTGGCATGAATTTGCATGTTAAAGTTCACCAGTTGAAGCTCAAGTTAACTGTAGACCTGTGTATGTTTGCAAAGCTGATTCAGTCGTATCAGCTTTTAGTGGTTACAAAAAGCATAAAACCACAGTACATCTGGCAGTGAGGGGGACTTCACTGAGGACTCTCATCTCAGCCTCAGGAAAGACCATAACTCGTCAAGATGACTGACAAGCAGCCAACAGCAGAAAAAGAACTGCCGGACGTCTTTTTAGGGTCTCCTCTACTTTCTCTGTCACTGCACAATAGTTTTGCTGTTAAAGAGATGGCAGCAGGCTAAAGCCACCATGGGTCAGACAGCTATTAAAATACCTCCTACTGGTCCTGAAGGGATCACAAGGGGCTCTTTGACACCGCCGTGTCATACAAGGACTCTGCTGGGACTGGGATCCCCTTCAGTAAAACACTGGTGTGTTTAAAGTTCATGTTGCTTCAACGAAGGAGCCAGATAACATCTGTCTCCACCCAGGGGGCTATCAGGCTCTGTTATCACTCAGTGTGGGTTTGTCTAATTGGTTCTAATGGGCTTAGAAAAACTAATGTTGCTCTTGCGTCTTCTTTTGATGGCGTTTCTGACTGTCCTCACTAGTAAAAACAATCACATTAATCATCTGATCAAACACTTAAAACAACCAAGGCTTATGTTTTCATGACAAGCAGTGTCTCTTGGTCATGTGAATAATGACTCTTTTCTCTTAGAAGCAAAGGCGACAGTAAACGAGGCTTGATTTCCAACCGGCCCCTTGGGATCTGGGCTCTTAAAGTAGCTTGACGTTGTTATAGTGCCACAAACCCTCTTCAGAAGGAGGTCAGGGAAGATGGTTGGGGGCACAAAGGGCACGACTTTGATGCTGGAGAACACAGCTCATATCCAATCTGCTACCAGCAGCTCAGTTTTGGGTTCTTCTAACCATGACCACAACCTAACTAAAGATTTAGTTACCTACAAATAGCAGATAGCAGATCAGAAAACAGTCACATGGATCATTTTGGACAGCAATGACACACAACTTATTTGTTGTTTAGGTGTGAGGAGTTCAAGCACTTCATTTATAACTCTACATTCTGCAGTGACAATTTCCTGCTTTTGTAAAAGTATGGATTGCTGTTTGATTTTGTGGCTGCAATCAGTTGTCATTCAAATCTAACGTAATCTTATAATTTTGCACAATCTCTCACAATATATTTGGCATCACATACATAGCCTTGTCACAAGAACTGCTTTTGTTGGACACTATTTTGTCCTAGAAATAACTGGGATAAAGAATATTATTGTGATTTCAAGTACATTTAAGCCAATAATATAATGTTAAAATTACAGCAAAAAAATGCAAGTACACCCTTTCAAAGAGCAATGAACCTTTTGTTCTTACGAATATTAAGACATTGGAATTGGAATATGGAAAATATTTAACATATTTTAAAAAAGCGACACTGTTTTTTATAATATGTATATCAGTTCTAAATTATAGTACTTTCATAAGAATGGGACAAAAATAGTCAGTCACAAGAGGCATCACTTGGTTTTGTTTTTGTTGGCCAAGTCTCAAACTAATATACAAGTTTAGCAAAGGTCCAGGAACACCAAAGTTATCTCTATGATCTGGCTGGTGTGCTGCAATTAGCTCCCGGAGATTAGATAGATGGTCTGGGAGCCGGGTGGTTTGCTGATGGATTTACGGAGTGGAACATGAAGTTGTTTGAGGGTCAAACTACAAATGACAAACTTTTTGACTCATGCCAGAAGTTGGCAAGCTAAAGACTATCAGGACTGTGCCTCTTCCACTCCAAAATTGTAGTTACAGGTTACCAGTAAGCTACACTGTTTCGTCTTTAAAGTATTGTTTTGTCTTAATTCGGACGAAACAAACAAGGAAACACAACAGGCAATAAGGTTGTGTAATGGTTGAGGTCATGTCCATAATAAATCAATAAGTAATTATCATGTTAGGCTTGTGTATATGAGATCTAGGGTCTACATCTTTGCAGCTTGAGGAAAGAGAGCATAGCGTCCATTCAGCACAACACATTCTCACTCCAACCTCATCACATATCGACATTTGGTCATAGACTTCCCACATCCAAATTCGACATGCAGTGTACCCTGGTTGCGTTGGTTGTTGAAGTTCTGGGAAGCCATGTTAACTTCAGCCTGTTACATGCATTGTCTTCTTTCAAAATACACTTCCATTCTCACAGGAAATGTACTGTGTGCATACAGTCTCTTTCAAATTAACGCACTACGTCGGTGCAACACAGCCATTTGAGGTTTTTTTCCTTCAACAACAAACACACGTGGTTATGTTTTGCCACCACACACACATGGTTGGCTTTAGAAAAAAAGAACAGGGTTTGGCTTTACACTCTTACCGGAAGCAAACCCCTGAGTTAAAGATGGTAGTTGTTGGACTCATCCACCACCGCTCCCGCCCACCCTACTTGGACTTTCGCTGCCTTAACTTCAGTTCTTGTCCGTCATGTAAGTTTTCTCTGACACCACTGGACACCATTTAACTATCATTGCAACTGGCCGGGTATCATGCCATGAAAGGACAGCTTTTTTCATTAGTGTCTGATCTGACCAAGCATCAGATTTCAACGACTTTTCAGTGAGACCAGGCTGTTCAGCATGGCCATTACCTGGGGCACATTCATCCCCAACGGATTGTAGCAAAAGGTTAATTTCAACAGAAATGGTGGTGCATTGAACACACTGTTGTGTATGTTGTGTTACAATAGTGCACTGCTTTTTAATAGGTCAGAATCTGTATATACATGTTGCAATTTTTTTGCTTCTTCTTGGATACTATGAGAGCTCCCTAAAAGAGCAAGTTTTTTTCCCACCAAATATAACTGTAGTTAACCATTTGCTATGGGTGAACAGTTCCTTGACGTAAGTGTCTCTTAAATGTGTCTTAAATTTCAGATTCTGTCACCTCCTAGATTGTTCCAAAAATTCATCACGTAAAATAAAAATAATAATAGAGAAAGTTACACTCAGCATCTGGCACTTGGATAGAGAAGTGACTTCTATCCTCACCTCTGTCACAAAATTGAATCACCCTCCATCTGGAGCCACTGAGGTCATGATGTCTTGCACTCCAAGTTTGTGTGTAAGATTGTCATTGTATTCGTCTTAGTACTGATTGCTCAACCGTGGCTCTTTCATTTAAGGGACAGAGACAAAAATCTGACATGTAATGTTAGAAGAATCTCTATTGTGCCACCTTGCCTTGTAGAAACCATAAGCCAAAAGGCCACAACTCCAAATCAACTCATCTGTTTCAGCAGCTGTTGCCACTGAGCCAAAACTGCTTCACCACAGTGATTAGCCGCCACTTCAAAGGTAATCTA